TCTCTTTAAAGAGACTTGGTCAGTCAATTTGTAGTCCAGAATTCTCGACGCAGAACGCTTTGATTCGTCTTTGCGCATGCATGCCTGCTTCGAACAGTTAATCACTATTAGCGGATGGGGGGGGGTTGGGTTCCACGGTTTCCCGAAGGAGATTTTTATGGGGTAAAATAACGACGAAAAGGCGCTTATTGGGGACTGAGTCACTTCCTTTCAAAAGTGGGGAGTCTCACACTCAGAGAGGCTATTAAGGTATCTATTAATAAATTTCCAATTTTTGGAGTCACCAAAAACAATTTCCCCCTCTCGAAAATTTGATTCTCGTTGTTGATCGCAAGACCCCTCAAATGAGTTGGGCAAATCTTTATGAGAAATTGCACAAGATAATTTGGAAAATAACCAAACTTACTAATTACAGTACAAAAGGAGAGCCAATCAAGATTAGCACCAATTTATAACATGTATAATGAAATGGAGTATAAATCCATCGAAAACACGCAACAAAAATTCTCTTTGTTTTTTCGACTGCAGAGTGTGCACTAAATTGAAATTTCACTTCATATGAATATAAATCGTCTTCCGTGAAGTTCTGAGAGATTCAAAACTCTCGAATCAGAGAGACACAAGGAATTATAATCGAGTCATTCCGCTTTGGTCGGATCGTGATGTGTTGAATCGGGCGGCGTCAAAATGACTGACTGATTTGGAGTTCGGTTTTACCCAGCTCAATACGGTGGGGCCCAGCTGGGCTCGATTCATATTTGTTGGGTTGTCAGTGGGATTTAGAGGGGGACGCACCGCCCCCCCTCCATCCCAACCGCCAGTATGACAATGAATTTTACATTGGCTCAATTGCATTTATGTGTTTCGCCTGCATGTTCGCATTTGACCCTCCACGTTTGTGCCCCCCCCTTCTGAAAATCCTGGATCCGCCCTTTGTTATAGTTGGGCTGCATTCTGTTTATCAATGATCAAAACTCCCCTCAAGAAATATGAGCCTCAGTTTAAAACTCGGCTGCATCGCTATCAGTGTACGTATTTTACAACAAAGCAAGAGAAGGAAGGCTCATCTTTTAATGAAGAAAAGAAACCTTGAAATGATCGAAGAACGATAACGATGACAGACGGACAAAAAGGCCTGGGTTCCCATTTAACCCTTCCCCTGCACAAGTTTATACAACATACGGTGTTGTTAATAAGTCATCACTCAACCGACCGGAATCAAATGGAACCCCGATCCTCTCCTGAGGTACCGTATCTCTGTTTGCTTCGCTGTTTATAAAGCTAATAAATAGAGTGCATACCTAGCTCCGAGATGGTCTTAGAAATGACGATTGATAGCGCTATCAATTAACCTCGGCTGAGATACTTCCCTGAAAGGATAAATCTCACTATGACAGCTATTCAACGAAGGATTTATTGTTATCATTATTTCAAAGTCATGCATGATTGTGTGAGTCGTATGACTTTCAGAGTGAACTGAGAAAGATGATTTTCATGTGTGGAATCCACTATAGGGGCAGTGGTTGGGCGAAATAGGACTCCAGATTAGCCGCAGATTGCGCTCGGCGAGCGAAGCAAAAATTAAAAGGATACGAAATTATGGAGGGAGAAGAGTTTATCAACAAAAATGTGACTTAAATTGCTAACTGTCGAAAAGTTGAGCGACGTCTGAGAATTTGCCCACGGCAGATACGCCACGACGTGGACTAAATCAAAACCTGATTTGAAAAAAAAATACCTCGAAATGCATGTGTCGCACAATTGCAAAAATAGCTGTAAAATGAAAGTCATAAGAAATCTGCAGACCTAATTGGATTTGATGATAAGTGAAGAGGGGAAATTTTAAGCAGATAAGCAACACAAAAACACGAAGAAAAAACGAAAAACAAAAAAGAGGTAAAATTAAAATAGTCTGACTCACTCCATGCGTCTACGGGGCTTTTACAACAAAATGCCAAGATTTTGAAGCATAGAAGTAATATATTACAGTATTCTGTTGAATGGGTCCCGCGATGATGAAGAGGGCTCAAGTCGATAACGCGATAAAGTGAGCGCTTTTTTCCCTTGAATAAAACAAACAATCTTTAAGGCTTCAGAGTTGGGCTTATGATAATAATCTTAGAAATTTTATCCTTCCCAACAAGAAACAGCCTGAAAAAAATGAAATCGAGAAAAAGAAATCTCTGGGACTTGAATCGTGGACACTCACATTCCTAAACCTTTTCCTTACCCAGCAAACTACGTAAGCCAACACAACGCTACCCATGACAACACAAAATAATGCTGAAGTTGTTTAGTAAGTAAGGATCCTAGAATCAGCAGGCTCAAAACTGTGGCATTTTGCTGTAAAAGCTTCCTTTATTAACAGTGGTGGGTAGTCCGATCGGGTTTCTCACTGTACTCTGTGTGAGTGCGAACTGCATCGGCCACTGCTAAAAGATGTAGGCGCCCTCTAGACGACCACGTTTCGCTATACCTTAAAGTGCAACGGCAGAGTGCCGATCATTTCCGTGTACACAGTTTCTGTTTACGATTTTATACTTGTCAGAAGGAAAGAAATGTAAAATTCTCATACGTATGGAAATGTGCAAATGGGATTGTAGTTTCCTAACTGTAATCTCTTTCATTATAACTCCTTTCTCCATCTGCCTGAAGTAAACTGCATTCAATTTTATTCGTATTGGAGTGACATGTTGGAATCTGTCAAATTCCAAAAATAAACATCGTCTAAACAAGCTGCATCAATTGTTTATGATATATCACCAGATACTGACAGCTTCGGGTCATCTCGAGATGGCACAACATCAAGTGCATTTACGATGGGCTGAAGCTCCCTCAGTTTCTCAAAATGCCCGCAAAACTGTTTTCTGATTTACTATTTACTTCACGCGAATGAGTGTTTCCAAGACAATTTAGAAACTGTGCCAGCAACGCAGTAATTAGAAAAACAAAATTTCCTGATGTTCGTCTACTAAAATAAAACAGTAACAATCAATCTTGTTTCCCACAAAGCCAGCGGTGCACTCTGTCAGCACTTCTTCCTTCACGACTATAGGCTCAGCAGTTTGATGCGATTTCCTCTAGTTTTTGATGTCTGGTGAATTGCTAAAAATCACGTGACACTTTTGCATTGGCATCAAAACGAGTAGAATTTTGAAAAGTAAAACTCGACTGAAGATTCTGCAATGCACTCAGTACTGCGTAATTGTTCTTTCTGAGGGGACGGTTCAAAATACATTTTTTTAAAATTATACACTGTAAAACGTAAGCGTTTAACTTCTAAACGCAAATTAATTAGCAAATCTGTAACACTTTTTAAACGTTTATTAAATAAACACATACGACATGTTTACATGCTGAACACACTGTCTTATTTAATAAATGCAACGTATGTTATGATGTGTTTAGCGTATTTCAGGTTTTTAAACACTTTTTCAATTATAAACCCGTTTTCCCTTTTTTGAATGATATTGAACGCTTTTTAGTAGATGGAAGTCTGAAAAATTCTTTACAATCCGCTTCAAGTTTTTGCTCACCACAAAGATGTGTGAGTGTGTGTGTGTGGGGGGGGGTTCAACACCCTATCCCCCACCAACCCCCACCATTTCTCTGCACTTAAAAAACCTAGCAGACGTGCGGGGGACGCGAAAGAGATCGAAGTGCGCATACAGGTGCGTGTACATTCAGCGTATGTGCCTAGTCGTACGTCTTAAACGCTTAATGGTACAACTGGATAGATTGCTAAACACGGTGTTTATTTTTGGTGTGAGAACCAAGTGACAATCCCCTCTGCATCCAATCATTATGCGTTATGTCAGCTTAAACGAACCACTTTTATGAGATTTGAATTTCATCGGCTCTAAAGAGTACTGGCGGAAAAGCATGGAATTCACGTTTTTAAGCCGCAATAAATGGGCGTGTTATGTCCCGATGATAAACACGTTGACGTCTAAACACACCGCGTGTTCAAATGTTCAATGTGGTTAGTTTATAAACACGTCAAACGTTCTTGGGTTTTATAGTGTATACGTGGCTTGTATAGAGGAAATTAAAATAAGTTCGTCATTTTAAGTAGGGGCCTATTGTAGTTGAAGCGTGAACCTGATGACTCATTACGTCTGCTTTACCAAAACAGCCAATTTGCAGTCGCCCGTGTGTATACGCAACCAAACACGGCAAAAGACAACCTGCCCTGGATCCCATTAGTGTTCATTTTGTTATTAGTAAGGTGAGGCCTGCTTCGAATTCAATTTTAAGAACAGAATTTTGAGGTTCAATTTATGGAGGCTTACACGGAATGAAACATGTTTGTAAGCAAATCGTTTGATGCTGCGTATTATACTAAAGACAAAACACAGCCAATACTTTTTGTACAGTGTGGGTTATATAGTGAAATATATTTTATATTGTGGAACGGTTTATAGATTAAGAATATGAGGAGACGTTCTCTCTTTCCAGGCTAAATGGTACGATGTGGGAATCCAACTTTTTGCGCATTAGCCTATAGCCAAATAACGCGCACAGCTCACTCTTTACACGTGCTAGTTACACATCAAATTTTGGTTACGTTTACACATCATTAAATGATCATCTGTAACATGTAGTAGAACAACTTCTAAACGGTACGGCCAGATAGCAGGTGTTCTGCAAACATGTTGGTATTCCGTTACAAAAATGAAGCTCGTTTTGGATAATTTAGATATCTGACGAGAGGATTCCATTATGTTCAGGGGTACCAGGTTGGATGTTTCGAATATATCCTCTGCGAGTTGTGTGACTGGGAACATCATAATAATTGCTTCGCCCGTTACAATTGTCAGCAGTCCAGTAAAGATAATGCAGTAGGTAAGGTGATCCTTTACCACGGTACCCCTCTCCTTAGGCTGAATGGTTCGTTCCGATGTGACAATCGTATAGCAACTTCCTCGACGTACTCGTTTATGCGTCGTGCACGTGTGGCCTCGCCTGGTGGTGGTGACTGATGATTATATGGTTTCCGGTGAACGTGCGCGCGTGCAGGGATCTGAGCTCATCACCGTGCTTGCTATCTACCTGCGATAGCAGAGACCATCACCACACATACGGGGAGGGCAGCACGACGTGAATCTGTGTGAATGATTATGTTAGGCGCTATATAACACAACTGTGCGCTTCCAACTACGGACTGATTTGAGTTGGCTATCGCTCTATTCATCAACGTGTATTGTGAGTGCGGCTACTGCCACTGCCGCGTAGGACACGGTGTTCTCCAGGACGGAACTCTCCGATTCATTGCTTGGAGGTTTGTTTGAGGAAGGGACACCTGAGCCATGTAGGAGAAATACCAACCGCGGTCGAGACTAAGTTCGCATTGCAAGGCGAAGGGAACAACACAAAGTATGACATGACAGTCAATACTGCTGGTGATACATTACGGCCAAACGGCTCCCTTGTTTAATCATAAGGCACCAGGGATCGATCAGTCAGCTGGAATGAACCGTCCTACATTTTGTCCAAAGTGCGATTTTTTGGTGATAATTTTGTTGTTAACATCCAACTGGCAATCGCAGGAAAAAGGATAAAAAGTTTGGTTTTATTCGAGCAAGAGGAAGAGCGATCCACAAGGTATTTCCCCGTTTCGCACTTTCCTCTTCAATATAAACAAAGGCGCCTTTTGTTAAAGTTACACCCTAAACGGTTTGGTTTGAAAAAAAAGCTGATGGGTAGTCTTGTTGCTGTGCATTCACAACCCACCACCAGTCTGGTCACAGGCAGCTTGGTACCTGTACTGGACTTTAGACATTTGATACAAAATAGTAAATCTTGTCGTCGTTAAGACCCGAAATGTCGTCGCAGTTTCGTTTGATACTTTGTAAACATAGTAAGGATCAACTGATTGCACGTAAAATGCTATTGTTTGTTATTTCCCGAAAACATACAGACCATTGATTTATGTTGGCACTGCTGAAGTACCAAATTAGAGTCATTCAGGTGTGAGTTAGGGCCCTAATTCATTCGGGCACTGACTTCATGAGGTGCATAGGTCTAGCACCTCTCGTTTCTTCTAGATACCCCCCCCCAATGCATTTGCTCGCCATTTGAAGCAGTATTTGAAATCTCTTGTATGGATTTAATTTCATTTCAGAGATTCGCCCTCGATGAAATTTCTCTGCGGTGTGCAGCTGATGCTGGAGCACCGGTAGATCGTGGTACACCGCACTCGAAGTGATACCTAAGTATATGAACCGTCAATGCTCACCATGGCTTTTCAGAAGCTGGAGCCGATTGCATTCATCAAGGCAGTTATCGTATGTTCTGCGTTCCTTTACCTCTCTCCCTGTCTGCAAGCTTACAACTACACAGAGCCGCCGACCACGCCCAAGGGGCAGACGACACCGACCCAAGCTACCAAGGGCGAGGGACTCGGCAATCAGTACCCTACCGAGGACAGTCCTGGCTACGGGAAGCTTGGAACCGAGAAAGCAACTGTGGACGTAAAAGAGCCAGTGCATGCAGGGCCTCGGAAGCTGGTGGAGCCCTCCAGCCAACCTTACGATATCGTCTCCAAGTTCCTAGCCTACCTGGCCTACATTGAGGAGAACCGAAACGATTGCGAGGCGGGCACCTGGGCAGTGGTGCTGGACAAAGGGGCCACAAGCTACGGCCCTAGTAGGTACATGCGACAGGCTATGAAGACCGTCGAAACGGCTAATTTCTTTACCAGGATCTGGAGAAGCAAGGCGCTTTCAGGAGTGCAACACAACGAGGAATTCTTCTTCAACGTGGTGGCCTCCAACGTGGAGAATGACGACGACATCTTTGCCTTTGGGAATTGTTACGATGCCTACGAGTTCTTGGATTATAGTATCTTCTGTCCGTACGCCTACCGGTTACCTGACGGGGGCATCCGGGTCAAGGATCTCTCGTTGGCCTATCCCTACCTTACTAACGAATCGGAGTGGTTTTACGAGGCTCGCATGAACGTCGAGAGGTTGCTCGATCAGAAGAGGGTCGTCATGAACAGTAAGTAAATTTTTAGATCTGGATTGGTTCATGGACAGTAAGTAAATATCAGACCTGGAAAGGGAGTCCAGAATACACACAGAATTTGGGGGAGCTTTTGGTAAGACATGAGACTGATGGCTCACCCAAAAATACACCCCCCCAAAAAAAAATGCAATGCGTGTATTCAATCTTGAATTACACCACCTATGATTATATTATTATAACAACACCTAGGCATGGCTTTTTAATGTGTGTTCCAGCCTAACAAAACGACGCTGTAGCCATAGAGCCATGCATATGATAATGCAGAGAGTTGTGTTTGCTTAATCTAGTTCAAACTTAACACAAAAAAGCCGTCAAAACTCATATTAAGGAATTCAATCACATTTATGCATCTTCTGTTTGATGTGGCGCAGACAGCAAAAGACACCTGACATAAGTCATACAAGATCGCCATGCGACATGCTTGGGCAAACTGGAAAGTCGTTATCCAATATTTCCCGAGTCAGTCTGGAAGGTTCTTTGGGATCTTTAATAAATGTCACGATCCCTGTCCAAACTGTTTTGTTTGCAATCAGTGCGTCAACTGAAGACTCCCCAGATTCTTCCGCGGTTCTTAGTTTCCCCTTACGCCAGCGTGCGACAGCTTTAAAAACTGGGTTACCAGCTGAGTAGTTGCTTTTAAAAGTTGAAAATAAGCGGGTGAAGCAGTGCCAGAGTGAAATATGAGATCGTCAGTACTGCGAAGGAATTTCAATGATGGATTGGTTTGGAAGACAAATCTGGGCAAACGAGGTACGTCGTTAATCAAACCGGTTCCATGGGGGTCTGTCATTTGAGAGCACTTTCGAGCGTTTAACGCCGTCCAACACTGGGTTGTGTTTCACAGCGCGGACCAATAAGAACCTTTGGAGTACCGCAGGTGAAGTTCCTGTGAGCTTGAGGATGTGCCCATGTTATTTTTGGGGGAACAGACAAGCCCGGCAATTACCAATGCAAATGGTAACAGTGGTCTGGTGGACAGCTGCCTTGTCTCTAAAATGGACGTCCGGCCCTCAACGCACGGGGCGACCGTTGTCATCGCGTGACCGTGACGAGGTGCTACAGATTGAGGGAGCCGGCCAAACTCTCCTCCCATCTACATATCTTGTGTCCTCTTTTTCTTCCGTCTGTTTTCTGGAGCGGAAAGTGGTACTGTCAGAGTTACGTACCTGTTTAATACTGTGAGTTTTTTGAAATAAGCATGTGTAATTAGGTATGCTTTCAGCGAAGAGTTGTCCTCAAGTATATAAACTTTCTACAGAGATTTGTCTGAAAATTCATAAATCTTGTCATGAATCTTTAACTGAAATTAGTGACTTACATTTTTAATACGTTGTGGCCTTTGTCACGTATGATTTAAAATAATCACACTTTTAAAAACTGTATAAATAACATCGATGCAGGGTACGATCAGTGTCAAAGAGCACCTCTAAAAAATGTTTTCTCGGATTTCATCTGTTCAAATAGATAAGGCTGCATGCATTGTTTGGCATGCACAGGGATTCATCCACTCTACAAACACAGGAAGAGGGTTCCCCTCGTTATCTCTGATTTCTCCGAATGGCACAATCTACATTCAGAATTCGCATCTTGGCATGAACACAAAAAACCCCTATTTAGCTTGTTATAGTTGAGCTCTGAAGACAGATGACACCGCGTTCAATTTGGATGCGTCCATATTTATTTTAACAGATAAAATCAGAGAAAACATGTTTTCCTTAGAGGTGTTCTTTAAAGAACACTGTACAGGTAATGCGTTGGTTATCCATGAATTGATACCAGTGAAATCTGAAAGATATGATCGCAGATTAGCTGTTACCACCCTGTTGTCAGTTGATCGATCGGCGTTTGCATTTGTCGATGCATTTGTAAACGTTCAGTCCAGTTCGCCCAAGCTAGAATCTGTAAAGTTCTGATATCACCCATTTCCAGTTCGTTCAAGCGGAGCGAAATTTGAAAATTTTCATTTAGGATTGTTTGCTCTTACTGAGACAACGATACCTAGCTTACAGAAACGAAGATGTAACGAACCTCAGCTTCTACGCATTCAAATATTTTACGAGTGATATAGATCTAATACCTATTCTGAACCAAACTATTTTATTTCTTTATTAATTTCCTTTTTTGGAAAAAAATGTAGCAGTGGCCTATAATTACAACAAATCCTTATGTGTTCGTTGTTTTTCTCCTCAGAATTCCCTTATCTGACAAAGAATGAGAAATGTTCCATTTTGAAAAGGAGCTCTTGTGACGCAGTGTGTAAAATATACTGCTGAAGACGTAACTGCGTCACTGATGTTGACTCCCGAAATAAATCCACGCTATCTGATTATCAGGCCTATACAAGGCATAGAATACGCTTATAATTATTGTAATTATACGCATTCCTTTCCGGAACACAGCCTTCACCCGTCGCAATGCGCCAAACAGTGCGTCCCCCTGTAAAAGGCAAGACAGTGTTTCGTCTGTGAATAACACACTCCCTTAGACTAAGCACACAAAAAGTTAAGCTGCAAGAGACAAAAATGAGCCAAGGACTAGGGAAGACAAAAGATTCCCTTGATGTGTATCTCCGCTACAGTACTGTAAAACATGGCAGTGTTTTTTTAGTCTCTCGGTCTCGTTCGCTACCTGGTACCATTTTGATCTCGGTCCTGATCTTGTACCTCAAGTTCTTGGTCTGGCCTCGGACTTTGGTCTCATAATACATTCAACACTGTGGCCATGCTGTGTCTGACACTTATCATTACGCGTGTCGGTAACATTCCCTTATTCAAAGGTTTGGGAAAGTCGAGCAGAAAACAACCACAATGGGTAGGGTCACGCGGGCCGATTTAACCGGGGACCCGATGGGCCTCTCTGGAGACCCCAGCACGGGCCGGACAAATGCTGTCCGGGTTGTTGCTCTGTGTCAGAACATAAAAAACCTGAAAATTGAGGTTTTTCAAAACCATGACACGCCATAGGGAATTTTCAGAAGGTTCTAGCGGAAATTAGTCACAGAGAAGTGACTTTGCCCGTCTGTCCAAAGCCTTAATTCCAACTGAAACGCTTAAAAGCAGAAGAGAAAAAAGGCCTGAAGGTTTTGTGTCAGATAGCAGGGAAATTAAAGTGGGATTATTTGAAAAGGAGCTTTCGTTTTTTGGCTTAGTCCTGTGCGCTAGCATTAGTTTCCTAAGATCGTTTTAGTATTTTCCTAGATTTTGTTAAAAGATATTAAAAACATGTAATTGTCACAGTTCTAAAGATTTTTACTTCGATGTCATTTCATAAACCAATTACCATTCACAGTATTTATTACTAGACATTTTTAGTCTACGTTTCCTGTCACTGACCTACAATGTATTCATAGATACATGTATCAGTTAAATCTTTGCCGTGACGATATCACTTAATAGGAGGAATAATGAGGAGTATATGGCAAGACTATTCAAACATATCATTTTCAACCATTTCATTTTCATCCAAAGAAGTAGAGACCCTATACCAAACGCAGGATCATCGAATATATTGTCTCTTTTTATAGGCCTAATGTTTTCCCTGTTTTCACTGGCAGGGGCCAATCCAGGAATTTTTCGGGGGGGGGGTGTTCAGGCCCCTCCGATTTTTTGTAATGTCCAAGAGGTAGACACACAGGTTTTTTATCATCACTACAATTGCTTCATCTATTAATTCTTTTTTTTTCTTTTTGATGTTAGAGCAGGGGTCGAACCTCAAATTTCAATACCCTATGGATCTGTGCATGCAGTGCAGAACTAAGTTTTATGACTTCCAATTTTCCTTTGCTGGCGAAAGTTTGTGCGTCCCAGCGAAACAGGTTGACATGTTGGAAACCTTGTGGCAAGATGATGACGGTATTCGAATGCCAATCTACACTGCGTTGCACAGCCTTGGTAAATCGTCAGAAGGGGCACGAGCGACAGCAGTGTAATTAGGGCTAGCAGCGCACAAAAGCCTATGTCAGTTTTATTGGTTCCCAACCTAATGGTCAATTTGTCAAATTACTCGTTGTGTTACGCACCAGATGGTCGGTAAAGCACGACAAATATAATTAACCATGTGGATTTCGAGCCTTCGGGGTGGCATTTTTGGCCAATGATTTAGTCCTGTCTCATTTGATCTGAACAGGGCCAGGCATAACCGGTTACCGTTTCCCTGTTGCAAAAATTTATGAATGCATGCCTTATCCTGAGGACGTCATTTAAAGGTATATCTTTCACTCATGGTTGACGTTTTTGTCTCTAATCAAATTTTATCCTTGTGTTGATGACAATCCAAGCGGTTTAGAGAGATCTTTTTACACACTGCAGGTTTTATTTTGATGTAAATGTGTATGAATGTGGGTCTTTCAAGATGGATGAACCGCTTAATGGTTAGCTCAGTAGTTGGCCAAACAAATTACAACATGGTCGTAAAAAATTGTTGAGGACGTCACAAAGGGAAGCTGTTATTTTCAAGTCTCACAATTGTGTTCCTTTTATAGGCATGCCTTGGTCGTATTCGTGCCAAAGAATCCATACATCTATTTGTTTCCCTGCTCGCAGTGAGTAGGAAGGCAAAAAATACTAGGCCTACTGGAGATCAATTCCTTGTATTTAGGTCAGTTGAATTCAACGTGTCCTGCTATCTCCTAGTCGCTTGGTAGTGTATTAGTTTGATAGAAAGACGTTTGTACGGGATCTATAATGTGATGTGGCAATTCGAAGGACTTTTTTTCTGGGGGGTCAAATATGTTAGAAAAATGTTATTGAGAGCGCTTTAGTTACTCCTTGTGGGTTTTGAGTGAGCCGTTGGTTCGTTTGTTCGCCTGTGCGGTTTCCCAGCTTCTTTGACAACTTTTGTCCTTTCGGTTACTGATTCTGTCTCTGATTCTGAGAGTTGGTTAGGTTTGAAGTGACCGTGCGAAAGAAAACAGTATAAGTGAAAGGGGTTGCCTTGGGTTGTCTTCGGAATTGAAGTGGTTCTCAGTAGACACC